CAACCGGGCATTTGGCATGGAGGCCGGCAGGATCCGTTTCAGCATATCGGGGGCGCGGGCGATGTGTGAAACATTGGTGTTGTGAAGAAGCCATGACAGCAAGTGCAATCGGGCCATTACTTCATGTCATACTCGTATGTTAGTACTGTTCTGTATCCTTGTTCTACTTAAATACAGGCTCCGATCTGTCCCCCAGGGCCTTGAACAGCCTGAAGTAGGTCAGCGGGAGGTTTGTTGTTTCTGCTTTAGAAGCTTCAGCTTTTTGAGCACATGGCCAAATACATGTTTCAAAAAATGGTTGTTCAAGCTCGCCATTTTAGCACAATTGTTGAAAGAGTTGTTATGTGGACACAGCGTTCAAGCAGTTGGTTTTTGCCTTTGGGGACCAACATCTAAACACACGCTTACAGCTTCTAGGCTTGCTTTTGTTGGCTTATTTCGCAGTTTCATAGATTTGGTTTCAAACGTGTAAGCTTAAAACCCCCACACACCCTGGACCCTGGAGGCCAGGCCTGTCGGTGGAATGCGGTCTATCGGAGCAGTTCGGAACAGACAAAGCTGGTCGTTGCACGAGGCATGGTCCGGCCGTATGTTGCCATCCACATCCGCATGTTGACTCGCGTGGACAAAACCAAATATCAGCGCAGGCCACCTTTCAAAGCGGGTTGCATGCGACATTTTCCTCCAAGCCGCCAACAAAGTGCCCAATGCCGCAGGCCATCAAGACGCACCTCTGCTCTTAGCTACCACGTCTTCCGATGTCAAAAGTGCCTGTGTTCGGCAGTCCAAGCTCAAGAACAGACAGTTGTTGACATTAACAGTTGAAGGCGGGTGCTTCATACAGAGGCCGGCGGACGTGCAGTCCTGTCGACGACATGCACAAGCGCGCCGCAGTGAGTGAGTGAGTGTGTAGGGGCATGACTGAGTGAGCAGGAAGAGTGAGTGAGTGTGTGTGTGTGAGTAAGTAAGTGAGACAGTGAGTGAGCAAGAGAGTAAGTGAGTGTGGGAGTGTGTGAGTGGGTTGAGTGAGTGAGTGGTGAGTGGGTGGAGTGAGTGAGTGGAGGAAGTGAGTGGTGAGTGGGTTGAGTGTGTGAGTGAGTGAGTGAGTGAGTGAGTGAGTGAGTGAGTGAGTGAGTGAGTGAGTGAGTGAGTGAGTGAGTGAGTGAGTGTGTGAGTGTGTCAGTGAGCGAGTGAGTGGTGAGTGGGTGGAGTGAGTGAGTGGAGTAAGTGAGTGGTGAGTGGGTAACCCTATCATAAACCCTAAAACCTAAACCCTTCTAGAACCAGTCTAGAACCGAATCGAAAACCTGAAGCCCGAACCCCCTGCCCCGCCAAACGAAATGTACATCAGAAGCTCCCTCAATAGAACACATTTTGAGTTTCCATGTGGGGGGGGGACCCCTCGAAAGCTTCATCTTGATGTTGACATGCTAACTCTATAGTCTCATGTTTATCGTTTCTTGCTTGTTGACTGGGTATGGGTCCAGCCGGGGAGGATACTCACACCCCGTACTGCCAGGAGCGTGCCACTCCTGGCATAACAACATGCAAATGGACAGATGGCTGGATATCCTTGTCCCCTGCTGCGGCGCTGCTGGTTTTCGACCTGCCGAAAGTTCACAGAGATACTTACAATCATGATATAGCAGTGATACTCACAATCATGATATAACCGTGGTATTCATGTGATGCAATATTCATGCTCATGGCCACGAAACTTTAACTGATAGTTCTGAGTCTCTCACTATACACAACGCAATGGTCATGACACTTTCTCTGACGGTCTTCGACAACTTCCGGTATGGACTGCGCTCGATGGCGCCGGTTGGTGTCTGGCCTGTCTGGCTGCCGTGGACTGAAACGCTTCTGCTGGCTGCTCGCTTCGGCATGGATGCTCACACGTGTGAGGCAGCTGCGCAGTCGTGGGCGAGTCTCGGTTTGGCGGAGCTGGATCCCTTGCCTCGACATTGCAAGGGCCCAACAGACTATACTCGCATTGGTTTGCTTCCAGCGGGAGACGAAACTGATATGCTGTCGGTTTCTTCGGACGAGGAGCCTCAGACCAAAGAATCCAACAATGAGTGCATGGATGTTCCGTCTGCCGGGGGGCTGGTGGACATACCCATGCCGGTCTCTTTCAATGCCGAGGAAGTGCATCTCTTGCCGGCTTTTTTCGACTTGTGGCAGATGCATCGTCAGGACAGAGCCTGGGGGCTCGACGACGGTGTAGCAGTGGACATACCTGCTTGGGCTGCCGAGTTGTTTCAGTGTGGCTTTCCCTGGACAGCTGAGCTTGTTCGTGCGTGCAGTGAAGGTGACTCTTACCAGGCTGACGAGTTTCGCCCGGCTTCGTCCAAGATGGTGCTCACTTCCAAAGTGGGGGATGCGTGGACATACAACTTCGTACCCCCCAACCAGGATGTACTGCTTGTGCGAGAGCAACCTACTTCCAGCTCGTCCGCTTCTCGGGTTCGTCTCTGGAAGCCGACGCGCTGGGGACGCTGCAGTTACCGTTTCTGCACAGGCAGGGTTTTTCGGCCAGTTCTCAGTGGTCGTGGTCCTTTTCTGGTTTGCGGTCGTCGAGGGTGCCTGGGCAAGCGCGACCTCACTGTAGCTGTCACTGGGACCGGGGTTATCGAGTGGTTTATTGTTCTGTTCTTTCCTTATTCGGGGAAACCCTAAACCCTAAACCACCCTAGACCCCTAACCCCTATAAGCCCAAAACACTAACGCCCTAAACCCTAGGAATGGAAGCGGCTGCCTTCCAGATGGCAGAAGATGTGGCCGGCGTCATGGGCTTCCGTTCCGTCTCGGCGACGACCCATCTGGAAGCATGGTTCTCGCTTTCACATCACGAAAGGGGACTAAGTCCAACAGAGACTATGTGGGGTTCGAAAATAAACTTGTCTTGCCGCTGCAATGCTTCCGGGCTTCTTGCCAGGGTTTCAGCTTCGGATCCGCATACTTGTGTCTTCCTGCAAGGGGGCTCTAGCTACAGGGGACTGTTGTAGCTAGGATTCCGTTGTTTCGGCCATGGTCAAGCCTTTGCCGAAGCCAGCTCGGAAACCTAAACCCATATATGCACGTGCTGCGGGGGGAAGCATCGGATTGAGAATTGCAAGCTCCCCGGAGCTCGTGAGATCATCCACTTGCGCCAAACAGTGGCATCTCGTAAAGGAGCAGGCCCGAAGGCTTCATGGAAAATGAAGCTTCCCGTGAAGAAGTCCGGCTCTTCCAAGCAGCACCAGAAGGAAGCGCGGAAGCTTTACGGCTCCAACTACCAAAGCAGTTGGAAAAGGACCCGAGCTGTAGGCTTAAAACATGTTTCAGGTCTCGTTCTAATAAAGTTTCGGTTTTGGGCATGTTTATCTCTGTACGTTGATTCTGGTTCAGGACTCAGCAGGCAGCCAAGTTTTCCTCACCTTCGGTCTTAACTTGCAGCCGTCGCCTGCAGACTCCTTGAAGGCATTGGTGCGACGGTGCGACTCGGTTTCGTCAGAGGACACCGGGGAAAGTGTTCCTCCTGCAAGGGAAAGCTGTCGGAGCCCGAGGAGTACCAATACGAAGGGCACCCTGTACGTGCGCTGCTGCGATTGGAAATGCCAGCAAAGATTCAACGTGATTCAACGTGACATACTTTTCAGTTTTTCGTGGCAGTCGCATCAAGCCTCCGGACTTGCTGAAGCTGCTGGTCTTCTATGCGCGATCCAATCGATTGAAGAGCCCCAAAGTCTGTGATGCAATGTCACACTTGAAGTTGGGGAAGAATCAAGTCCAGCATATTTACAGTGTGCTCTTGTCTCAGGAAGCTACAGCCGGCCGAAAGTTTTGTGCTCAAAAGCAGAACCTTTTCGGACAGTTGGAGTGCGACGCGCACACCATCCGCAAGATTTACGTTAGCAAGACAAACCCTGAGTTTCAAGACGAGATCCAAGATGCTATGCAGGGGTGGAAAGCTCAGAAACCTGGCAAGCCAGAGCCGAAGTATTGGCTTGGACATGTGCGTATTGCTGGCATCAAAGCACGTGCTGCTGCCACCGTGGTTGTCGTTTTACCGACTCGTCTTGTTCCTCCAAGTTCAAGCCCTCCTGTTGAGAGCTTCGTGGAACTCAAGAACTCCGGCCTCATCAACCATATTAGCACAGATCGCGGGAGACATTCTTTGCTTCACTCCGATGGTGCTCAAGCTTGGCCTCGTTTGGTCTCGGACATGGGCAAAGCCGTTGTCACGAGTGATCATGTCAGCCACTCCAAGCACGAGTTCGCCAGAAAAGTTGCTGTGAAGCGGCGGACGAACAAGAGGCCCGCAGCATACATTACTGGCACGCAAAGCATCGATCGGTAGTGGCAGACAGCACAGGACTTGGTGCCACCGACTCTCCCTGCGAAGCATGGCAAAGATATCAATCCTGATTTGTTTGGATACCTCTTTGCATTCGTCTGGAGGTATCAACTGTCCATGTCAGACGACTTAATCTCTGGCTCAGATTTCCTAGTGCCTCTTATCATGCTGCATTCCAGATAATAAGCCAAAATATGATCGTGCATGCACAAATCCCCAGTTTTAGTGGATGTTTCGACAATAGCACTTGCTTTCCTAATTCCCCGCTTTTGAGCCGGGCCATGTGTTTCAGAAGACGGAGTCCTTACAACTCGAGGAAAACGCGCGTCGCATGCCGTAAGCACCCAGGTTTTTTACGCGCCGGTGACCTTTTAGGTCGTGGCTGCTTTAAGATTGACCATTACGAGAAGGGAAGAAACAAAACCGACAAAAATCCAGCCAAAAACGCATTAGGCCGGCCATGTTTTTGGTCCCGGCTTGAATTAGCAAAAAACGCATTAAAGAAGCCCATCGAACTAAAAGGGCCGGCACATTAATAAGGCATCTATCTGGCGTTTCGGGCTTGCGCTTTCATACACCTGTGAAAGGGTTTATTTCTGGGGCCGCCGAAACTGAGGGCTTTCGGGCTGAGGACTGCGGGGCTTGAGGCTGTAGGGTTTCAAGGGTTAGGGCTTTTGGGTTTCAGGGTTCCGGATTGAAGGCTCAGGGGGTCTACAGGTACGGCAGCTGTGTAGGTTTTCAAGGTTTGGAGCTTTACAGCGCTTCGGGGGCTGCAGGATTTCAGGTATTCTGGGACTTTCAGAGGCTCCTTAATTTGGTTTCAGCTTGGAATTCACATGATGGCAATATCTTCAGTACTTTGTGTGGTGCTTGTGATTCCTACAAGATTCAGACGGTTGTGTTCAGGGCTTGAAACACAGTACACAATATTGAGATTGAAAAAAACACATGGTTTTCAGTAACAGCAAGGTCGTACGTCCCCGGATGTGCAGCCCGGGCCACAACACTTAACATCGTCGAATCTCTCTCAGGTTAAAAACCCTAAATGACCCTAAACCCTAAACCGTTATAGACTCTACAACTCTTTCACGCTTGTGGCCTATGGGCGCAAATGCGTCAATCGGAAGCTTAAGCTAACCTCCAAGCCCAAGCCGAATTTGAAGAGCGCGTCGCTTTCGAAGCTCAGCACGGCCTCTCCATCTAGATCCTACCTTTAAGAGGATCTGATTGAAGGGTTGCTTTAAGGTTTTGACGGTCATTGGGTCCCACGACGGCTTGGTTCAAGTGTTCCGGGCTTTCACCCTTTTGGGTTTATGGGGCGCCAGGAGTTCAGTAGCATTGCAGCTGACACGGAGGCCAGCGAAACAGTTGTCGAGACTATCGGCTGTGGCCCCAGGGTTGACTGAGGTCCCTTTGAGGGTTCTTCATAATGGCGCTTCTCGCAGGGTTGATGACGGTGTCGGTGTAGGGTTCTGGATTCTTTATGAGGTTTCTGTTTTGGACTTGGGCTCCTGCTAAGTGGGGGGGGGGGTTTCAGAAAATGGGGAACGCTAACCTGCATTTGATCATGCATTCTTCCCATGCTGCTCAAGATTCCTATGTTCTCAATCGGCGGTAGTTCTGTTTTAGTAGGTCTGTGGAAGGTCGTGTGCAGTTTCGCCAGAGTTGTTCAAGATGCGAAAAGGGTTGGCGAACTGAAGAGTCCTTTTGCAAGGGCGTTCAGGACAACTCGGAACGGCATTAGGGTGGTAGGTTCAGCTTTGACTACAGCACATGCCTCAATAATGTTACACTAGAGAACGTTATGTGTGCACATATATATATATGTATATATATATATACGTATGTATATATACGTATATATATATATTATGTATATATATATATGTATGTATATATTATATGTATATATTATATGTATATATTATATGTATATATTATATGTATATATTATATGTATATATTATATGTATATATTATATGTATGTATATATATATAGATGTACATAACTGCTTGTTGCATATGTATAATAATATACACACACATATTCAGAATGCATTCATGTGTTTGCATGAGTATTTTGGTTCATATATTATTTTTCGATTATTTTATCATGGTGATTATTTCCATCAGTATCATTATTGCTACTACTGTCACCATCATCATCATCACTATTATCATTGTTATTATATTTATTTGTTTTTTTACTACTATTATTATTATTTTTGTTATAGTTATTGTTAGTACTGGTGTTTTCTTGCTTATCCTTATTGCTACTATTCTTGCTGTTGATATGATCATTGCAGTTGTTGCTATATTTGTAATCATATCAGGGTTGTTGTTGTTGTTGTTAGTGTTGTTGTCTTGATTGTTATTGTTTTGATTCTAAGTCTACTACTAATATTAACTAGTATAAGTATTAGTCTGTTTCTTATTGTTGTTTTTATTTGTGTTATTATGTCTCTTATGCTGTCTCTTATTCTCATTATTTTTTCGAGTTTCGGTCCCCGCATTCCCTCAACCGATGCAAGAATAAACCTGGAGACTTCGATGCGAGTGGCCAAAGCATCACTCCCTGAACCCCAAGCATCACAAGCAGACTCTTCGGCCTGCTGCTGCATCATCGAATGCCTTGCCACAGATTGACCAGAGCTCCACGACCATGCGCAACCTAGTGACCTACATATCTGCACGGCTGCCTGCGCCTTTGTCCGCTCCTTTCGGCTCCATAGCCGGCCTTATCGAGCCGAGCTTGAGTTGAGTTAGGCTCTCTTTGTTGCTTCACGGTTCGCGGCTGCGGGTCATGGGGTCATGTGCACTCGGAAGCTCTTAGAAGCGTGCACTTCACACGGACTTTGCATCTTTACAGCACTTGCAATTGTCTACCGTTGAAGGGAATTCTCAGGCACAAAATCACCTTGCACCCCATATGAACTAGCCAGCTCCAGCCTGCTTCAGCCAGAGGGCTTGCCCGCAGCCCTGGAACAGAGCGAAGCCGTGAAACGTGTTGTTAGTCGTTGTGTTGCGCACAGTCGTGTGATCGTGAGTCAGTCGTCACACAGTATACCGTTCAGTTCAGAGCCCAAGTTGCTAAAGCGATGTTCCTCATATGTCGTCGATTGTTTCAGCAGGTGGACATGCCCTGCTGTGATGTTTGTTTCTCTTGGCAATGATTGAACAACTTAGACCCGACATGCAAAGCCCAACCAAAGTCAGCCAAGGCTTCCCAGCTTAGGTAAGCGTGTGCGCAGTGTGTTGGTCCATATGTGCATGCTAGCTATGGAGCCAATGTTGGAATTCTCGAAGGGCCGGGTACTCGGCGTCTCGCATTGGGATTTGTAGGATCCCCCAATCTCTCGTAAAATTGCGGTCCACTTCTGAGCTTCCGGAGGTTGCTGAGGACACAGATTTTGGAACCAAGACTAGCCGACTAGCCGTTAACCTTAACAGAAGATGACGCTGCGATACGCTGTGAGAACCTATCGGTTGCCACAGCGTCCTTCTCTCAACCTTAAACCCTGGGCCATCCTAGGGGGACCCTAGTTTTTGGCTTTTTTTTTGTTTTTTTTTTTTTT